CTCAGAGTAAATCGCTTCGTTCCTTCTGGGCGTTGTTGGCGAGGCCACTTCGCTTGTCTTCTCATTGTTGCCGGCTCTATCTGCCTCTGGCGCAACCGCTGCGGCGGTTGCAGCGTGCCGCCGCCGCCGCGCACTCTACCCAATTATAGAGCGCTTGTACTCAGAGCTGCTGTCTGTTTTGTCGGAGGAGCTCTTCTTCCTAGGTGAAAATGAATTTCTTCGGCACTGGTCTTGCCCTTTTCTCTCGATATGTGACGGACTAGTGAAACTTGCTTTTCGGCCGGTCTGGTATTGGTAGGCTGATGTGTCGATGCGCCGGCAGAATTGGTATGCCGATGTGTAAAGATGCAAAATGTACATATTCATGTTTTATTCGTGTCTCTTGTTTACCTTGAAATATTTTTTGTAGTTGTGTTTGTGTGAACCATCCAATGTACATGTTCTTCTAACGTCGTCTCATATTCATGTTAATGTAAGTGACGTCTGTTTTGTCATCATCGTTAGAGTATGTCTAAGAAGTAAATGTTCTGTTGAGTGTTATTGACGTTTGTGACAATAATTTTTCTCTAAACAGGAAAAAGTTGAAGCAATGGCTACAAATATAACTAGCTTCACTACTTGCTCACTTTTGTCACATAATTTCAAGTCATACTAGTAATTGAGTTAAAATCCAAGAGCGCAAGGTATACACGAAAAGGCGAGCGCATGGAGGCAATTTAACAGCTCCAGCTTTGTTGTTTAGGCGCTTCTAGTGATTTCCGAGTCCAAAGATTACGTTTCGTGCTGACCATATCGTGCGATTTCGTTTTTCTACGTCACTTTTTCGATTTCTTTCCCCTGAAGCACGCCTCACGCAGATCTCGCCGATAAGACAGCGAAGAACGACCCCATGACGTATTGACGCCACAATATGTGGCTGCAACGGGGCATGCTCAATGATCGAAGGATCACCGTTAAAAATTTTTACTCGCAGGTTGCCCACCTCCCTTTTTTTCAATCGCTGCCACTCACGCTGAGAATGCTGCAGACAGCAGTTCTCAGGTGCCATATTTGATGGCTTGGTTCAGGCACGGGGCGTGCGATAGTCGTAGTACGTATCGTAGTACGTGCGTAGTCGTAGTCGTAGTACGTAGTACGTACGTGAAACGTAGTCGCGTTCCAGATTTTTTTCTTCTGTGTAGATTTTACCTGAGGCCTTTATCTGGCCCTATGGAACTGTGTACCAGGAACCGCGTGACCACGTTCAAGCACCACTGCAAGCTTCGTCTTCGCCAAAAAAAAAAAAAATGGGTGAGTGTCCATGTCACAGACCGGCGAAGTGTTGGGGCCTTGTTCACCGAACATAACTCACTATAGTTTCATAGTGAGTTATGTTTCAACCTATAGTTTTAACCAAAACGGCTGACTGGTAGCCACCCTATCGCTGGTGTACAGTACTTATATTGCGGTGCGAGCAGACGACACTCTCGTTCTGCGCCTTTCGGTGATGCGGCACACACGCTCTGTAAGTAAGAAACACGATTCGACTAAGAGATTGCGCCTTGCATACGTTTCCAGGCATGGTAAACATGAATATCTGCGCAAAAGCATGAGTTAATTTCGGGCTTTCCGTCGTCACAAGTAAAAAATAATCAGTCACAGGCCTAGCAGCGCCACGCTAGCATTGTGCACCTGGTTAACTACACGCCAACTCGTTCGCGACCGGAAGCAGCAATCCTGCTCCTCAAATGTTCTCCCCCTCGTTCAATGCAACACCTTTGTTGCCCGAGCACCCACAAGCTGCGATATTTGTGCCGGGGGCCACGCGTTTTGAGTGTCCTATTTCAATCCGTGAGTACTGACAAGCCGCGTGCCACTCTGGCGTATCTTCTGCAGTGTGGCCAACGAAGTCTTCATGGCGGACGTGCTACCGGCATTGCGTCAAGTAAGCATTACTCTCACATCTCCGTGGAAAAAAAACAATACATATATTTACACGAAGCGCAGTATTACTTCAAGCTTTGTTAATTGCTGTCATTGCTCTTTGAAAATTTGTAATACGAACTTCGCGAAAAGTGCAGGGGTGCTCAAAGGGTGACGCCACCGTATAGTGGCTTTGCGTCTTACTCGTTTCATTAAGCTCACCATTGAAAAGTTGGCTGTGCGGTCGCCGTGACGTATTAGGCGCATGCGTTTATATAACACTTAGTCTTCTGGGGGCCGCTTGTTGCTTGGCATCCGCATGCACCGCGTGGTAGGTAGCTTCCAAACAAAGCACGTGAGGAAAGTGCGTTAATTTGCCTGTTTAATTTTCTTCGTATTTCGTAGTGCTGGTCCGTTACCCTACTACAAAAATCACTGTTGCCGACTTCCAGTCCGGCTACCAACGCAGGTTGGTTGCAGAGGTAACAAATCTTGTACTGGTTGTCGTAGTGGATTATATTGCGATCGGGATACCATTATGCAATTTATACAGTCTCCAGCCACGGAAGATTTGCCTAAAACAGATCGTCAAGGGATCTCAGTGCTGCGTTCTCTCATAGAAGCCATCCGAGCGATATTAGTTGACATGAAGAGACCATCTGCTCGAAGCGCACTTGGACTATTGCACGTTTTAAGCCCAGTGCTTGAATCTCTCAACTAGGAAGATGGCTACTCACACCTCATCATTTCGTAAAGAGTTCAAGGCTGCATCCGTCATCCAACGGAACACCAGAGGACTAAAATCACGCTTTTCAGATTTTCGCCAGTTTGTGTTTACCCACGTGTTTCCACTCATCGTCATTTGTGAACCCAATTCGTCAAAACCAACAAGACTATCGGGGTACGAAGCTGTAATGTCTTAAACGAAATGTGCGTGACGCAAAATCATCATCTTTGTTCTTCGTGAACTGACGTATGTTGTGCAACCAATTGCGCCTCACGATGACAATCAGTATGTCTGCATATCTGAAAAAAAACAAACTCATGAAAAAGAACAAACTCTCATAGGCGCTTATATGTTGCCGTCGAATAATTTCGATTCCAGAAGATTAGCTGATATTTTGAGAGTGTGTCCTGCACCATAGGCCATCATAGGTAATTTCAATGCGCACCATCACGCATGAGGAAGTACGCAGACAAATGCAAGAGGACGCAGGTTAGCAAACATCGCCTACAACTATGGCCTTACTCTCCTGAACGACTGTAGCCCCACTTTCCTTCGAGGGGTGACATACGGCAGCTGCCTCGACCTTGCCTTTGTCTCCAACTCCCTCGCGAGATACGTCAAGTGGTTTCCAGATGTTGAGAAACGAGGAAGTGATCACATTCCAATCTACCTTAACATCAAAGGCTTGTCTGGTTGTGGTCCACGGACGACCATTCAAGCAGTCCAATCGACCAACTTCAAATCTGACATGGAAGATGCTTGCAGCGATGGCCTACGATCTGGGTTAGAGCAAACAACTAGGAGCACAATACAGAACGCCACTCGCACGGTGACGATATCTTCCACACGAAACGACTTTGATTTAGAGTTGGAGTGACTCCGAGCACTGCGACGCCGGGTGAAGCGTCGGTATCGGCGTACAAAATCTTAGGGCAGCCAGGAGGATGCAAAAGAAGATTTGTCGTCGCGTGGATTGACTAGCGTCGGAACGATGGACAACGTTTTGCCAGTCACTAGACCCTCGCAAGCCACTCTCACACATTTCAAAAACGGTGAAAGGTCTGCGTCACTCTACGGAACAGCGTTTTCCATTCAAAGCGCTCGCGCTGTTTCAAGGGTGGCAATTGACATCGATGTCGCAGATTTCTTTGCGCAGTTCGCCAACCAAGCCACTCGTCCTAATTCTCCAGTGAAAGGTGACGTCCCCCGTTCCCGTGACTACCACATGGACCTCCCTTTTACAATGGAGGAGCTCGAGGCGTCACTAGCTCTGTGCAGGCGTTCAACTTCTCCGGGCCCAGATGGTATTTCGTACTGAGCCTTGTGCAACCTTGGCGAAGGTGCAAGGAGAGAACTGTTGAGCCTTTACAACATCTCGTGGCAGGATGGCAATGTTCCTGACGACTGGAAAGTAAGCCGCTTGTTACCCATCTTGAAGCAGGGCAAAACTCCACTCGAACTCGCCTCATACCGCCCAATAGCACTGGCGAGCTGCGTAGGGAAAATAATGGAACGGATGATACTAGGCCGCCTGGAGTGGTATCTTGAATACTACAAGATTCATCCGAATTCCATGGCTGGTCTCCAACGCCACCGCTTTTCTATTGATAATGTCGTTGATCTAGTTTCGTACGTTCAGCACGAAAGATACCGTAAGCGACTATATACAGCTTTGTTTCTAGATGTGAAATGCGCGTATGATAATGTACTACATGAAGCCATTTTGGGTGCTCTTGCGGTGGTTTGCCTTGGTGGTCGAGTCTTTCAGTGGATTTCGAGTTACCTGGCTGCAAGATCATTCTTTGTGTTAACAGAAGATGGCCCAACTACGCGACGCTATACTTCTGAGGGTGTTTCTCAAGGCGGAGTTCTTAGCCCGACGCTATTCAATCTTGCACTAATTGGCCTTGCTGAATACTTGTTAAGTACCATTAAAATCTCAATATACGTAGACAAGTTGCTAGAGAAGGAAGATTAAGAAGAGCTCTTATGTTTGTGACACTGGTATTGCGAATATAATTGATAGCAATGAAGCGAGCACAGCTACTTCACACTGCCTCAATGCTTTGTATTAATGAAGAACTAACTATGTGGGTCTCAGACAGAAGAGGCGTATTCAAGCTGAAGACGGATGAAGGTAGTATGAAGCAAAAGATTTAGTGACAGGTGGGGAAAGATAGAAGTTTCTTTTCAAGTATGCTAAAGTTAGATTTGCTCTAGCTATTATGTAATAAACTTGATGTTTCCGTGAAAGGTTACTACAAATATGGACACCAAGGTAGCGATGAGAAGGGGTAGATTCCAATAGTATATTGTTAAGAGAGTAGGACGAAGGAGTAACATTGCGCAAGTTTTTATTTACAGGACGCCGGCTTCGCCTTGAAACTGTGCATCTGGTGCATGCGATGGACGTTCCCGGAGGTTTGTGTATTTTGTTCCGCATTTGCTTCATTGGAGAAGAGGTTCACTGTAGACTGTCCTTCAGCAGACACTGCTTCTGTCTCGGGGGGGCCTTCACACCACTCGAACACTGCATTTGCTCAACAATCTGCAGCGACTTGGGTAAGTAAATCCACAATGAGTAAGAATACATGCAAGAAAAGGCAAGCAAGCAGACGCTCCACCTGTTTATTGGTGAAAAAGGCACACACTTATGCACACCCAGGTACACTAAAAGTGCAAAACATCAAGTAACACCTAGAAAAAGGGAATCTTTAAATGGTTATTTGTTTCAATGGCTGACTTGGTTAGCCGCGGATGTGTTCATTTAAAAATTTTCGGTTTCTTCTAGTGAATTTATTTCTATGAAAAACAAGATATGGGTTTGTCAAAGACCACAAACCAATAAAATGAGTTAAGACAGTGTTTTTCTTCATCCATTAAGGGCACGCGATAGAGCAAAATCTGAGAAAAACAATTTCTTTCTTTGCAAATTCGGAAGGGTGTTCCTTTGGGCACGTATTACATATTAGAGCTTTAGCTCCACCGCGGTGGTCTAGTGGCTAAGGTACTCGGCTGCTGATCCGCAGGTCGCCGGATCAAATCCCGGCTGTGGCGGCTGCATTTTCAATGGAGGCGGAATTGTTGTAAGCCCGTGTGCTCAGATTTGGGTGCACGTTAAAGAACCCCAGGTGGTCGAAATTTCCCGAGCCCTCCACTACGGCGCCTCTCATAAACATATGGTGGTTTTGGGACGTTAAACCCCACATATCAATCAATCAGTTATCAATATTAGAGCTTTACTTCAACATTTTTAAAGCTCAAGACCAGTTTTTTTAAAGCAAGTAGTGAGTGAAAACTCGCCGAAGCCCAAACTTTTTGCATGCGGTTTACGGTTTATTAAAAAAAAACTTGTATGAAAGTCAATATTCTTGTCTAGTCAGCTATGTATAGAAAATAGTCACGTAATTTTGAAGGCAGTCCGAGAACGCTGTGTGTCATTATATCCGTACTTCGTCTATGAAGCACATCGCCTAGAAACCTTTCAGCTCTTAGCCTCATTGCACCTCAAGTGTGCCGTGTTTGTCGATAAGTTCATATTCGCGGGGTAAAGGTCTTCAGCAAGCATAAATTTCATGGCAACCAATACAGTTTTGTTAGTGTGAATAAATGCCAGTGACATACCGAGGTGCTTAACGCTGAACCAGCAAGCTCTTCACTGCTGAACATTTGTGGTTTTTCGGCGTTCTTTGAGGTGAATCACGTGCATGGTGACAATTGCTATGCTTTAATGGACATGGCTATTATTTGTGATGCAATTCAACTTGATAGCGTGTGAGAACGGCCCGATTCAATTTTTCAGTTTACAGAAAACGGGTCGCAGCCTTTGCTGTCTTCGTTTTGGTGTAGTCCTAAGAATTGACATTGAATAATATTCCTGAGTTTAATGTTGGTAGTATCACATGACCCAAATTTCAGAAATAGTTAGTATTGAAGTATCGCATGTTCCGGAGCCCTCTATTTTTTTTTTTTTTGCAGTGGAAGGAGTTTTGAAAAATTCATGCACTTCTCTACCAGTTAAACATGCCAGTCATTACGCACCTTGAACTTTCGGTGTCTTTTAAACCCAGGAGCGTTGTACACATTGTAACAGTTGCATCTCCCACAAAAGAAAGGTTGTCTATAAAAATTTAGTTATAAAAGTATACTCGTAACGCTAAAGCTATTGCTAGACATTCATTTCTTTCTATATAACGAATATTTAGTTACATCTGAGTTTGTTATAATCAGGTTTCAGGTGTGTACACCGATATATCAACATGAAGGTACCTCTCTTTTTCTTGCAGCTTGCCAATCTTCGCACCTGGCACACGCGAGTGACCGTCCCGCAAGGGCGTGTACAACATCCAGGCCTTTGCTAGCCATGGAAGACGGCGTTCCCCAGGAGGCGGCGTTTAATCTGCCTGCTAGCGCCCACTTGCGTTCTTATGAAAATTCGCTCGACGATCTCCAGTGTTTCGCGTAAGCCCAAGTACAGTACTCTCTATTTGAAACGACGTTTGGAAACTGCACACTTTATTTTCCAGTTTTAAATTTGAGTCGTATCGGCGTAATGTCTACACGAGTACGTACATCAGTATCGACATTGTTATCTCAAGTAATTTGGTATACCAGTCGCTATACTAACACAAACTTCATATTGCGTGTAAAACAGTAAATTAAAAGTACAAAGTTATCCTTTAGAATTGTTACAGAGCACTTTACTGTAGGGAAAATGGACTGTTGCACATTACTTTAGTTTTGTGCATATTGACTTTTATATCTACTCTTCAGCTTTCAGTGTCCATTTGAGCAATCATGAGATTTAATTGGTCCCCTGAGTTATCAAGGCAATGTGATCAGCGAATCGCAGGTAATATACTCTCCGTTTACTCTTATCCCTAACTCTTCACAATGTGGGGCCCCGAAAACCACATGCGGTGAATAGCATTAGAGTGATCGTGTCTCCCTGCCTTATACACTTTTTTGTTGAGATTCTGTTGCTTTTTTTCGTGAAGAACTATAGTGGCAGTGGATTCACTGTAGATTTATTCTAGTATGTCTATGTCGGGTTTCTTGATGCCCTGTTTCCCTAGTGCCTGCATTACTCCTGATGCCTTGACTGAGTCAGACGACTTGTCATTTCTGAAAGGTGGTTGTATTCCGCACATTTCTCTACTACTTTATTGGTAGTAGGAATATGGTCTATTGCGCAGCAGGTAGTACGCAATCTCGCTTGGTCCTTTGGTTGCAGAATAACCGAAAGGTGGCCTATTTGCTTAGGGTTCGTAATTCATTGTATGGGCCAGCGTTAGCACAAATACACGAGCGAAAAAATACACAAGTGCTGCTTTCGTAACTAAATGTTTATTGGAAAAATGCCACTTATATACCTAGAACCATCCAAATGATTGTCATCAGAGGTGTCACGTGAACAACGTTAAGTATACAGCAGATAGAGGCAATACGAAGCAGAACTATGCTATGTACGTCTGTAAAAGATAATCTTATTGTTTAGATGAAAGTTCTATAGATGCTTGACTAATGCATTTCTGTTTCAATCAGTTGATGTGAAAGCTTCTATTATTTCTCTTGTCTTTTTATAGTGATGACGGGAAAGAACGAAGGTGTCAATAAAGTCTGGACTACATCCACATGAATGGCTATGGTTGGCTAGATGATAAGTAGCAGGATGAGCGGAGCCCCTGGTTCTGGATCAAAAGATGCTGCAGATTTGAAATAAAGAAGAAAACAAGACAATTTTTCAAAATATTGTTGCGAGTGACTGTGTTTATTTACAGATGAGGTGAAAAGGCGTTGTGAAATAGCAGCGTACTTCTGAGACAGGCCAAGAACGCTTCCACCCAACTACACAGTCCAGGCGCCGCTCCACTACTCTTCTTCTTCTTCCGCGCCCCGTAGGCTCGCGCATCTTCGTTTCATTTCCCCCGGCGGCAGACGAAGCTCGCCGAGCGAGTTAAATAGGCCTATGATGGTACTGTTTGAGGCGGGCTACGTGAACAACTTGCGTAGTGCGCGAACGCCGGTTATTGGCTGTGACTCGGGCGACAACGTAATTCACGTCACTGAGACGAGTGACTATCACGAATGGGCCGGAATAGTTTGCTAGAAACTTCCGGTACAATCCTTTTCTACGAACAGGAGTCCACAGCCACACGTAGTCACCAGGAGAAAACTCTACAGGGATATGCTTGGCATCGTAGCGACTCTTGCTGTGTTCTTGCGAAGACAATGTTCGAAGGCGCGCTAGTTGACGTGCTTCTTCAGCGCGACACAACGTCTGAGCGATGGACAGATCTTCCTGATGCGAGAAAGGTAATAGAGTGTCCAGAAAACTCTGTGGATTTCGTGCGTAAAGCAGAAAGAAGGGTGAATGTCCAGTAACTTTATGCTTGGCGGTATTATACGCGTAAGTAACAAACGGTAAGACGGCGTCCCAGTTCCTGTGGTCAGCATCAACGTACATCGATAACATATTCGTGAGAGTTCGATTTGTTCTCTCAGTGAGACCGTTAGTTTGCGGATGGTAAGGGGTGGAGTGGCGATAAGAGGAGCCACAGAGGCGCAAAATTTCTTCAACCACATCGGCCATAAATTGTCGTCCACGGTCACTGATGACAACCCGTGGAGCACCGTGACGCAGTATGACCCGTTGTAACAGAAAAGAAGAAACAGCGGCTGCTGTGGCCGATGTCAGTGCGTCCGTTTCCGTATAACGCGTTAAATAATCCACGCACACTATAACATATCGGTGGCCCGATGGAGTCTTAGGAAGGGGTCCGAGCAAGTCAATGCCGACTTTTTCAAAAGGGGATGTCGGTGGAGAGATGGGCTGCAAATGACCCGCCGGGGCAGTGGTGGATGGCTTGTGGCGCTGACATATAGCGCAGCTGGTGACGTACTGTTTTGTGGTCTTCCACATTTTTGGCCAGTAGAACCTCTCACGTAGTCGATGCAGCGTACGTGTGAAACCGAGATGACCGGATGTTATGTCATCGTGCGCAGAACGAAGAACGACCTGGCGCAGGCTTTCCGGCACCACTAGAAGCAACGGGAGGCCATCGGCTGAATAGTTTCTTTTATACAGCAAGCCATTTGAAATTTTAAAGGGCTTGTCGACGGAGTTATGTGCAGCTTCGAGCAAAGGTTTCAGAGTAGGGTCGCGCTGCTGCTCACGTTTGAAGCTGCTGGTATCTGGGAAGTCGGACGAGACAGAAATTAAATAGTCATCAATGTCATTGTCGTCAGCATTGGTGTGTACTGAAGGAAGGCGGGATAAGCAGTCGGCATCTGTGTGACATCGTCCGCTCTTATAGGTAACAGAAAAGCTGTACTCTTGGAGGCGCAACGCCCAACGAGCCAGCCGGCCAGACGGGTCACGAAGTCCCACAAGCCAGCATAGTGAGTGGTGATCGGTCACTATTGTGTACTCGCGGCCATGTAGATACGGTCGGAACTTCTGAATGGCGAAGACGACTGCTAAGCACTCGAGCTCGGTGACGGTGTAGTTCGTCTCTGCTCTGGTCAGTGTCCGACTGGCATATGCTACGACGTGCTGGCGACTGTTGCAGAGTTGGACCAGCACAGCACCAACCCCTGGCCCACTAGCATCACTATGAAGTTCAGTCAAAGCATCAGGATCAAAATGCTTTAGGATGGGTCCTGAAGTCAATAAAAACTTCAGCTGTTGAAATGCAGCCTCACATTTATCATCCCACAAGTACGGTGTGTCTTTGTGAAGAAGGGACGTCAGTGGGGAGGCAAGTTGTGCGAAGTTCTTAATAAATCGGCGGAAATATGAGCACAGACCCAGAAAACTTCGCAGGTCCTTCACTGTTCGTGGTGGTTCAAAGTTGCGAACCACTGCGGTCTTCTGTGGGTCTGGTCGCACGCCTTCTTTATCCACGAGAAAGCCTAATACGAGGGCTTGACGTTCTCCAAAATGACACTTCTTTGAGTTTAAAACAAGGCCAGCTTCGCGTAAGCATTCAAACACAAGCGACAAGCGGTGATTATGCTCTTGAAAAGTCTTGCCGTAGATAATCACGTCATCTAAATATCACATGCAAATTTCCCATTTTAGTCCACGGAGTACTGTATCCATAAATCTCTCGAATGTCGCTGGAGCATTGCACAAACCAAAGGGCATAACGTTGAACTCAAAGAGACCGTCTGGTGTTACGAAGGCCGTCTTCTCTTTATCTGAGGGATGCATAGGAATTTGCCAATACCCAGAACGCAAGTCAACAGATGAAAAATAGGAGGCAGAATGCAGGCAGTCCACGGCGTCATCTATACGTGGCAAAGGGTAGACGTCTTTTTTTGTGATGGCATTTAGGCGACAATAGTCTACGCAGAATCTCCATGAATTATCCTTTTTCCTCACTAGAATGACAGGAGCTGCCCATGGACTACACGATTCTTGTATGACGCCCTTCTTTAGCATGTCTTCAACTTGCTCAGCAATGACTTTCCTTTCGGAAGGCGAGACACGATAGGGCTTCTGGCGTATTGGTGGTGCTTGGCCTGTATAGATGCAGTGTTGCGTACGTGAAGACGGTGGCGTAACGGTAGACGTCTCGTCTTGGGCAAAGTCAAAGACTGAGGCGTAGCGTGTGATCACCTCCTGCAGCAGCGACCGTTCAGTTGATGGAAGTGACTTGTTAATCATACGGTCAATGCTGGCAGAATAGTCGCGGTACGAGTTGGCGTGGGTTTTTTTTCCATCCACCGACAGTTGGAGTGACCGTATGGTAAGAGTACTTTGCTCCTGAAAGCTTGCCAATTTAAGTCCTGCAGGCAGATATATGGGCTGCGCGGAAGCGTTCACAGGCCACAAATCGGCACAACCATCGACGATGAGCACGAGGCAACGAGGCACAATAACGTTTTTCTTAAGGGCGTTACTGAGGTTCGGCTCGGCTAAACCATAGTAAGAACCCGCACAAGAACGCGAAGAGTTTACACGCACAAACATTGCGGTATGTGGGGCCAAGCAGACGTCTTCAGACACGGAAAACACTTCCAAGCAGTCATCAACGGTATCTTTTGTCAATGGAGGTGGAAACACGGGACGAAAAATAATCCCACCACTACCACGATTTAGAGTTGCACCACATTCCCGCAAAAAATCTATACCTAGAATGACGTCATGGGTCGCTCGTGCAAGCACCGTTAGTTCCGCTCGAAACGTTTCATTTCCTATAGAAAGTAAAACAGAACAAACTCCAACCGGGCTCAACGTTTCTCCCCCTACGCCTCGGAACGTAGCACTCCGATTCCAAGCAAACATTACTTTCGTCCTAGGTGATTTTTAAAAGACATGCTCATTATGGAAACGGCAGCACCGGTATCAACTAGTGCAACAGTACTCACATTGTCTACAAAAACACTCACTTTGTTCTCAACCATTACAACACAAGGGGGCCTTGCGGAAGATGATTTTGCGGCCTCGCCCCCATTGGTCGCACCAGTTAGTTTCCCAGTGGTGGTGGCGTCCCCGAGCGGCGACGTGGAGACGGGGATCGCTGTTGGCGTGCTGGTGGTGGGGTAACGCTGCGGTCGGAGCAAGGCGAGTCAGCACGTGCTGCGTGTTGCTGTTGGAAAGAGCCCTGAAATGGTCGAGACTCGCCAGCAGGTACATAGGGCGTGTACACGTTGAAACGTGGAGCTCGCTGCTGGCGACGCTAGCAGTACCTAGCGATGTGTCCAGGTAGCCCGCAGTTGTAGCAAGTACGGGTGTCGCGTCTAGTCGTCCCCGGCGAAGTAAACCTCGTCGGTTGATAAAAGCCGGGCGATGGTGGTCGAGGAGTGAATCGCTGTGACGCAGCTTGTCTGCGTTCCTGGTTTCCGAGTGGTCGTTCACTCCTCCGTTCGAACCGATCGGTGTAATTCGGGCGAGGCTCAAAGTAGCTCTGTCGCATCCGAGGTACCAGTGGTTCACGGGGCCGTTGGTCGAATGCACACTGATGGCAGACACTAGCGGTGTCCACAGCTTGCAGTTGAGCAAGTTCTTCCTTAACTACTCGTCTTATAAGAGAAGAGATCTCGTCCTGCGATGGAAGGTTGACACTTGCAATCGTGGGCACGTTGTCAAGACGTCCAAATTTTGGTAGGACTCTCCTCCTCTTTAGGGTTTCAAACGCTCGGCAGTGTCTCCTTAAGTCGGAAGGTGTGTGTAAGTCTTCCTTAGTGATAAGGAAATTGTACACGTCTTCCGCGATTCCCTTGAGGAGGTGACCTACCTTGTCTTCGTCACACATGGTCGCACTCACGATTCCGCAAAGCTTCAAGACGGCCTCGATGTAGGTGGTGCATGTTTCACCAGGTAACTGAGCCCTGCGTGAAAGCGTTTGCTCCGCCTGCTTGACCTTAGCTGTTGAGTCACCAAAACACCTCTTCAGCTCGTCCACGAAAATGTCCCATGTGGTCAATGCACTCTCATGGTTGTCGAACCAAAGAGACGCGGTGCCGACGAGAAAAAACACCACGTTCTCGAGCTGCTTAGCAGTGCTCCAGCGGTTGCTGCGACTCACTCTTTGGTAGTGCTTGAGCCAGTCGTCAACATCGTCATCCGGCTGCCCCGAAAAGGTCCTCGGCTGACGTTCCGGCATGCCGCAGCGATCTTGTCCTGGCGGGTGAGCGTGTTGCTCATCAA